GAAGAAGGGCATTTTGTGTATTGTGGCGTGCAGGATGTGGTCTCAATATTTTTTGGTGTGAGGTGCCAACACTTTTGTCCGCGGGCTGTACTAGTACTCGTACAAGTACTAATACCCAGGCATGGTGTGGTGCGGTACAGTACACCGCTGGAAAAGAAACATGGATGCCCCAAGAACCCGCCCTCACCCATTCTTCTGGATCCAGCAGTAGGAACAGAAATAAAAGAAGCCCCCGCCAAATATCCCATCCAATCTGGAAATTTAAGACACGGCTGTTACTTTGACGTGCGTGAACATGTCTTTGAATTGTTTCCCTCTTCTTCCGTCCTGTTCTGTCATGTTTGTTTTGTCTCCGTTTTTTCACCCTGTCGCGGTGTCGTACCGGTATTGTACTGTACGAGTACTCGTACTGAACGAATGCGGTGCTAGTGCATGGCAATGTGTACTTGGGCGCCGGGGGGCGCAGTACGGTATTGGTTCGGATAGGGTAGCCGGACGGACAGATGACAGGCGGATGGCAGGCTGGCGGGCGGGAGGGAGGGAGTCGAGTTGAGACATCTGGCGACGGCGGTGGAGGAGGAAGGGAGAGTAGGTACTCGTACAGTACAGGTAGGTGCAAGTAGAGTTTCGGGGTGGCTGGATGGGTACTTCTGGCAAGACCAAAATGCTAGTACTGAATAAGCATAGCTCCCATGACCGAGTTACAAGTAAGTGATAGTGCTCGCAACCCCTCACTCGCTTACGAATTAATTAGTTTAAGCGAGATCCTACCCTTTTTGAACAATGTTTTTATTGGTAGATTTACGGTACGGTACTGTTTCCCTCCTCTAGTCCAGCATCGCCATCCCACAGCTACTAGCACAAGCACACGGCGTCCAACATCTTGTTTAAGATTTTCAAAATTCACTTACCCCTAAGTTTTCCTTCCATTCTTTCTGCATCCCTTTCGGTACCATCCCATGCTGCCGGAGTCGGAAAGAGGGGGGGGAAGAAGAAAAAAAAACAAAAAACAGGAAAACTATCTCAATCACACTCCAACCACCACGCACAACGGGTAAATCCTCGGGCTCCCTGTCTCACCTTAGCGAATCTTGCGCGCGCCCATGCACGTGCGCTCCACATGCGCTACCTACAAGTGCAGTAGCGAGACGAAGGAGAGAAGAGAAAAAGTGTCAAGAAGGCTCCGCAGCCGTTCCGGCCGGATCTGAGTCTTTGGGTTACGCTAGCTTGTGCCAGATTCGGGCTCTCGGTACTTGCACTTGCCCTTTCTGAGAGTGGTGAGACCTGAGTCTTGTTAGCGAGTGATACCAGCTATATTGGATTCAATATAGTTCTGGATTGTGCCCGGGATGCGCGGGTTTTGGTCTTCTTCATATGGCAGCCTCTGTTTGGGCCAACCCGGGATGGGTGGATGGATGGGGGAATTGCGATTGTTGGTTTGTTGCTCGGTTCGTCAGTGACATGAGTGGATGATAACTTGTCGGAGGGTGAGAGTTCTCGTACTTGTGCTGCACATTATTGCACTGTGGCGCGGGGAGACTTCCGTGTGGATGCGCCGGTCTCTATGTTTTTGGCTTATCCTCTCCTCTCCACAGTACGGGTGAGGGACCCGGAATGGGAGAAGGAAAACCAGAGTATCCAGGAATCTGAGTTTTCCGCGACACCTTGTCTGATGTGGTGACGGACTCGGACCGGATCTTTTCCCCCTACCAGAGTACCGTACCTATCTTCCTGGCGAGTTTAATGCTTACCGGTGGTCGTTCAGCTATAGTTCTCACTTCCCTTCGAATTGCACTTATACCATCGGAACCGAAATTGCCTTGCGCCTTTTTTCTGGGACAGGTTTTTGCCCTAAGTGGCATCGTTTATCTCACCATGGTAATACCTGTACTGCGATATACCTAGTTCCTTGTTCGAAGTTGATCACGTGTGTCTATGGCGTGGGAAAATCATGACGGTCAAGATGGCCAATAATCCTCTTTAATATCTTCATGAGTTTTCTGCAGGAAGCGGACAGCGGTGCGGTTAGAGACCAGCATCCTCAAACGCAGCTATGGTCGGCCGGCCTGGGTCTGTATATGCGGGTTTCGGCGTGAGCAATATTCCTTCTTAGTTGGGGGCTCAAGACAAGTAGCTATTCTATACCACACCTATTAGTACCAATATTCGTGATCTAGGCTCTCTCTTCCTTAAAACTCCGTTTCCCTGGTTTTATTTGTTTCCTCTCGGCTTTTCCGAGGATGTGGGGGTCGTTTCGGAGGTGCTCGTGTACTAGTACAATATCCTTTTACTAGGAAATCCACATCCTCCCTTTTGTTCGTTCCATGCACTACTGGGCGGCTCTATTTTGGATAGTGCACCTTCTCTCCCTACCGAATCCGGACGTTAAAACATAATTTCATGCATTGACCAAGGGGGGCTTCTTTTTTGCCTTATTTGTACGGTGGTGCCATCTCTCCGCTTTCGGGCTTTCTAATGGTTTGGTGGGGGCCTGGCTGTACGAGTACAACAAGGTGAGTGTTTTTTACTCCGTTGGTCGATAACCTTTTCTCTCTTCTTGATATAGTAATCAGTTGTCATCTATTGGAGGGGGACGTGTTTGTGACACTCGTTCGAGTAATTCGCGGCTCGGCGGACTCGGTCTCTCATCGCTTCAGGGGCCCACCTGGGGGCTGGAGGGAGGTTGGTGGACATACCGTACTTGCAGAGAAGGTGGGGGGATAGGGCCTCATTGTGCACAGCCAGAGTTGTGGTACCATAATGCACAAGTGTTCTGCAAATACTGCAAGAGTACCACTACAGTACTCGAGTACAACATACCTCGCTACATTTGACCGTGGCCACTCGAACACTCGTGCAGTACTCGAGTACTGGAGTACAGTACTAGGATCGTGTGGATTTTGCGATTTGGGGGGTAGTGGGGAAATCCGTTACCAGACCGGCCAATTAACATTGACTCCTTGAAAAAAATCTCTCCCGGGGGGGGCTAAGCGTGCTGCGGAAAAGTTAACCATGTGCTACAACACTTCCTCGAGGGTAGGAGTGTGTTACCGTTTTTCCTTTTTTATAGATCTAGGTGCATGGATGAATCACGGCGCACAATTCCTGCCATAACTTAATTTAAGTGTTCCGTCGAACTAGAAACTCCTTTAGTTCTGTTTTCCCTTGCAGCACTGTACTCGAGTACAGGCAAGGCTAGGTCCTTGGTTTCTTAGCCCTTGACCTTTCTTTCCGCTCTTGGTTCTCCTCTCTTGGGGTTCTCCCTTGATTCGTTGTGATGGAGAGTAGGCCAATTGGGGCACCCGGCGCCATGTCACTCTTGATGTACCCATTGAACATATCTGTCGGACGCCAGCAAGCAATACTGTATCGCCATACAGCTCAATCCACTAGACCTTTGGCCTGTCTGGAGGTACTGGTGGGCCACCGGTTAGTTCGAGCTATCGGGCTACCAGCTCGCTCGATCGCTCACTTTTGGTGGGGGGTGGAGAAGTGCCCCGGGGTTTTCGGCATAGTTACCGTATGATAGTACCCGTAGGGTAGGTGTCGGCGGAAGGCGTAAGTGTTTATGTGATGCTGCGTGGGTGCGGGTGCGCTGGATGCTGGATGGGGAGGTGTGTGTCGGAAAATGGGCTTGCGGATTTTCGGTGCCCCAGATACTGGTACTTGTATACAGGGGAGTGAACACCGTGATGCAGCCGTCTTTCTCAGAATCACCCAGGGCGCCTCGAGATTCCCTCCAGTTGGCCGAGGCATGGGTGCGGTCACCGTGTGTCCCATCTGCTGAATGGAGATAGAGGGAGTGAGAAAGTGGGCTGGAGGGGAACACGCGCATACTCGCACCCAGTTTTGCATTTTCATCCACTCTTATCTCTACAACGTGTCGTCGTATGTGTGATGCTACAAGTGGTGAATGAGCGGGTGTGGTGATATACGGATTGTGATAAGTTACGTGGGTATCACGAGAGTTCGAGTCTCTGACCCCTCTGGGGACTCCGGGCCAGGATGTTCCAGACCCGTGAAGTTCCACGAGAGAAGTGAAAAGATGTAGGAACGAATTGGGAGGAAGAGAGGGAATGGGAAAACCGGCCAGCCCGCCAGCCAATTCGGCTCAGTTTGGATGGTCTTCGAGGGAACAGCGAGACATTGGCAAACGCACAATCAAGCAAACACCCGCCTCCGCGCTCACTCGTCCAAGTAAGCTCGAGTAGATATGCCGTACGCCGCCGCCGCGCGAATACACAAGAAAGTAAGTAACTAAACCCACCCCTCCCCACCTCCCTACAGCAAACCACAAACTATTTCCTCCCATATTATTTCCCTTGATCTCTCTTTCTTCTTCCCCCCCCACCCCTTGCCTACTTTCCTCCTCCTCCTCCTCCTCCATCCATTCGACCGCCGACATAGTCTCCTCTCGGAGTTGAAACAGTTCAGCAAGAGCGGTCCATCACCCCCCATATACAAACTGTACAATCCCCGACTTACCTCTATTTCTCCCAAGGGGGGAATTGGATTGCGGCAGGTGGTCGAGGTGATAACCTTAATAAGGAGGAGGATAATCACCAGTTTTGCCTTCCCCACGGGAAGAAAACCTGTTTGACGGCCCCCCACCGAAGCTCCAACTATTGTCGCCGCGGTTTGCCCCTCTACCTTCTCCCTTAGAGACTAAACCCGCACATCTCTCTTCGCCCTTGACGAAGCAATTCATACGCCGAATCAACCCGCATTGAACCATTTGTTTTACAGCTGTCCAGCATAGACACTCATCCACTCGTTAACGCCCGCACAATAATTTACCGCTCCCTCTCCTTCACAATTACTGGGAAACCCTTCGCTTGCTCTCACCCCCGTTTTTTTCCCCGTTCCAGATTCCGTGTATCCTTTTTCTTTCTTCATTTTTTTTACAACCATCTCGGCTTGTTAAAGGGAACAGCAGATTGAAATAGTCAGCCAACACTAACTCCAGTTGGTTGTCTCATACGGCCTCTTGCGTTCCTATAATGGGGATCAGAGACTACTTTCGTGCAAAGCCGGCCAGCGGCAAGGCTCCCGCGGGAGATCCAGCTGCGGCTTCCCAGGCTGATCATGCCGACGAACTCAGGCCGCCATTGTTCCCAGCATTGAGCTCCGGAACCAATTCTGGCGAGGGATCTTCCAGATCTTCAGCTATCATGATTGATGACATAAAACATGAGGTTATGGTTAACTATTTGTACCAACAGCAGTCAAGCCAGCTTTGGGTCAACCCTAACCCACCATCTGGCCAATCCCACGGGAATGAGGGCGTTTTGCTGAGGAAGAGTAAAGGGCAATATATGGCTTGCCCAGCCTCATTATCGGGCAGCCTTCTTGCCGAGGCCTGTTCGGCTTTGAATGTCCATGTATGCTTTTGGAGACCCCCGGGAATTCCCGCAAGTTAATGCGCCATTGCTAACGTTTCGGTAACTTGGAAATTTGATAGGTTGCCATGACTGTTAGTTCCAGAGTCATCAAAACGTTTCTCCAATGGTCTCCTGATGCGGTAGATGTCCCCCTTATGAACGGCCTGCGCATTCAGATCGTCCCGACAATTGCGGATCTTCCGAGGGCGAGGAAGCTCCAGTTCGCCGCATTCGTAGCAAGGGAGGCCATGCTTGTTGTCTGGGATGACGATCCTCTCAACATTGTTGTTCGTGCAAAGTTCATTGAAAATGAGCTAATGGCACTGGTGTGGAAGACACCAGAGGTCGAGGAGGAGGAATTGGCGAAGGCAGAGTTGGGCGCTAATGTGGTGGAGGTTATTGATGAGGAATCTGGGGAAGTCGCCGGGTATCGGGAGATGCGCCCGACAAATCTGCTGAATACCATCTTGGTCGCCTTCACACTGGCGCTCATCATAACTACACTGGGAGCCGGGTATAGGCAGATTGGAATTGAGGTCGCGGTAGATGGGAATATGTTGAGACTTGCATTCGTCGCCCTAACACCCATTCAGATATTCTTTACATTGGTGGGTCTGGCCCTCCTGGGGAAATAGCTTGCCCTCTAACCTGTTCTGTCGTGCATAGTTCTTCGGCCAGGTCATCATTGGCTGTACCGCTCAGTGTATCGGGCCGGTATCTCAGTTGACCTATAACTCCAAGTACTATTCGGCGAAGGCTCCTCCGCGTATCCGCTCTGGGACACTCCCCCACATCACCATCCAGTGCCCTGTGTATAAGGAGGGCCTTTCCACGGTTATTGCCCCAACAATAAAATCAATCAAACAGGCCATCAGCACGTACGAGCTCCAGGGCGGCACGGCGAATATCTTGATCAACGACGACGGACTGCAACTTTTCAAAGACGAACATGAACACCATCGGAAAGAAAGAATCGACTTCTACGCGGATCATAACATTGGATGGGTTGCTAGGCCCCCGCACGGGCAGGAAGGTTTCCAGAGAAAGGGCAGATTTAAGAAGGTGAGCGAAACCAAGTTCCCTCCATTAGTTCAAACCCACTCTGCCTTTGCCTGGATGGGGAAGAACGAGGAGGCTGGGGAGGCATGAGGTTGATTTTACCCTCAACCTATCTTGTTGGATTGCTTTGCTTGATTGTCTCACTAGCCACGTGGGAATATATTCCTGGCCCTCGAACAAGCTCACTCGCTTTTGCTTCTTGGCAATTGTCGATCTTCTAATGAACTATGACTAATCATTGCATAGGCATCCAACATGAACTTTGCCCTAATGATTTCTTGTAAAGTTGAGGATAAACTCGCATTAATCGAAAGGGATGAAAGTTGGACCCAGGCCAAAGAAGCTCGGGCTTATGAGGATTGCTTAAAGGAGGTATTGGAGGAAGATGGACGAGCTTGGGCGGATGGTAACATCCGCATCGGAGACTACATATTGCTTGGTACGTAATTAAAAGTAATTGCTGATGAGGTTTTGGGGTGCTATAAGAGCTAACTTATTGCTATAGTTGATTCTGATACCCGTGTTCCGGCTGATTGCCTACTTGACGCTGCTTCTGAGATGGAACAATCTCCCGAGGTTGGAATTATGCAGTACTCCTCTGGCGTCATGCAAGTTGCGAACCACTACTTCGAAAATGGCATCACTTTCTTCACCAATCTGATTTACACGGCTATTCGTTATACTGTTGCCAACGGCGATGTGGCGCCTTTTGTCGGGCATAATGCTATTCTTCGATGGTCCGCTATTCAACAGGTTTCCTACCGAGACGAGGATGAGTATGAGAAGTTTTGGTCCGAATCGCACGTGTCTGAGGACTTCGATATGTCTCTGCGGTTACAGGTCAACGGATACACTATCCGGCTTGCCGCTTACACCGGTGAAGGATTTAAAGAGGGGGTCTCTCTTACCGTGTATGATGAATTGGCGCGTTGGGAAAAGTATGCCTATGGCTGTAACGAGCTTTTGTTTCATCCGTTGCGATTCTGGCCCATCCGTGGGCCCTTCACTCCGTTGTTCCGCAAATTCCTGTTCTCGAACATTCGCATGACGTCTAAAATTACCATCATATCTTACATTGGAACTTATTACGCCATTGGCGCCGCATGGATCATGACGACGGCTAATTACTTTGCCATTGGTTGGTATAATGGCTATCTCGACAAGTATTACATCGACTCCTGGAAGGTGTGGTTTTCGATTGTCGTTGTGTTTAATCTTTTTGGAAACGTGGCATTGGCAGTTATGAGGTATCGTATTAGGGAGAAAGCCTTCCTGCCTGCTTGTGAGTATCCCTCTGTTGCCGACGAACAAGAATAATGTCTAACGTATTTTGGCAATTAGTACTTGAAAACTTTAAGTGGGTTTTTCTCCTTGGCATATTCCTTGGAGGTCTTTCGCTACACGTCTCCCAGGCACTCCTTTCCCACATGTTTGAAATAAACATGAACTGGGGGGCGACCTCCAAGGAAGTCGAGGTATCAAACTTCTTTCTCGAAGTTCCCAAGGTTATGAAGCGTTTCAAGTTCTCGTTCGCCTTCTCAATTTTAGCCATTGTGGCCATGATCGTGTTTGCCACTGCATCCTTCGTTCCCCATAGTTGGGTCATCAAGGATTTTGTCGCCATTTTGCCTATGGCCACCGTGGCGGGTAGCCATCTACTGCTGCCCATCGCGCTAAACCCTGCATTGATGACATTCCAGTGGTAGTTGATACTTCCATCAATTCCTTGGAACTTTTCGGGACCTTTTTTATTTTTTTCACCTTTTTCAATTTTTCCATTTTTACGAACGATCATTGATGCACAATGCAATTGGGGGGGTGTCTAATGTACGGCAGTAATGTTTTCCTTTCTAGTCCCTTGCTAAATACCAAAGTGAAATTGCTAGAAGGCCGAAGGCCATCTTTCCGTCAATATTAATTCCTCCTCCTCCCCCGCTATCCTACTGTCCGCAGCAATTACAGGGTACATTTTTTCTACTTTTACTTTTTGCTCTCTTCATTCTACCAGCATTTTCTCTTAGCACATCTCTCTATATCATGCTATTGGGGTCCTTTAAGTTTCTTCCTCTTTCATCGATTTACTTCTAGGGGGCTTGTCTTTTTTTTTCGTTCAGGTGTGCAGTTACCGAGCAGGCGCAAAAATCCTCGTTTTCTTGTCTTTCATCCCATCTCTTTTTATTTTGAACCGTCGTAGATGATGTTTTTCTTTTTTTCTCACCTTCTCATTATCTCTTCAGGATACTCTCACGCACGCAATGGAATGAATGGAATGGATATGGATGGCCGGATGCATTTTTTAAAGGGAAAACTCGCAAGAAATCATTGAAACAAAACCACGCATATAAACTAGTACTCAATAATAGAATACACTCTATAGTAGCTGCTAACTTTTCTTCCTCACTCCCCGGGCACCTAATCGAGGGGTAGCTGGGGGCGGATAAGCTGTCGGGGCTTGCGTTAGTTTCTACCTAAGTCAACTCTCCATCTATATACCGTGTCTCGCTGCAGGCACATCACTATACATTTTAACACCTCTCAGAATAAGTACACAATAGCAAACTCGATATTACCCATCCCCCCCCTCGGGAGAAAAAAATCAAAAAGAAACCTACACTCGCTTAACTTTACCCCCTCAACTTAACTTCAGTTGTTCATGGTGTCGAAACGCTTTTAAAAAGGACTGCAATTGCACCCTGCGGGAATATTCCCCCTCCCGCTGGATCCGGGCGGTATGCAACAGTACTTTCTTTTGAAAGGCTTTTTCACCGTAAATCCCGGTACTCGCAGCACGCAGGAAGTACAGTATAGTACCCGAAAACAGGGTCGTGAATTTTTAAGAGCGCTCAGATATGCATGGGTCTTTTGCCACATATTCGGCCAATCCCTGTTTTCGGATACCAGTACTATACCCCACTCCTGGTGCCTGCATGCCTGCAGCATAGAGTACCCGACACCTAAAAACGACCCGCTTGTTCCCTATGTTTTCTTGGTATGGTAGCAGGTTACTTGTGGAATCAGTGCTTTCTGAGTTGGAACATAATCGTATTCATACTCACTTGTTATCGCTGCAGAGCGTTCCCTGTTGAAATTCCCTCTCGCCGGGATCGATTTCAGCCCGGCACCTACCGCCACCCGGGGCCAACTGCGCCGGCGAATCGTAAACAGCCCGTTGGCCGAATCGTCCGTATTGTAGTGCAAAGCGCTATCATATACCCCAGCTACCATAGAGGGTCCATGAATTTACTTGCCGGTCTGCCGCGATTTGTGGTTGAGTGCAGTACTATCGCGTTGAGCATGCTGATCCGCAGTTAAGGTAGCACTTAAATAGGCAATACATCCGGCGCACCGTATATATGTATATAAGTACGTACTGGTGAGTTGTGGATTGGATAGGAAGAAAGGTACTGGTCACAGGCAAGAAGTACCGTGTAGTATCCGAAAACCGGAATTTGGGAAATATACTGCAATACAGAAAAGCAAAATCAGTGCTTAATTGAGTGTCTATATAGACTCGCGACTGGAGCTTCCAGATGCTTCTTGTTTTAGGACAGGTAGGGAGGCTATGTATTATAGGTTCTTGGTTCCTTTTATTGAAAAGGAGTGATATGGTATTGTATGCCACACAACTTGGAGAAACGTGGAGCCTTGGTGGAGTGTGAGTGAGAGTTGTCCTTTTTTTAAAAAAAATAAAAATAAAAATGGAAGAACGCTCTAAAATACCAGTATTAACATACTATCACCCGAGCAGGGTGCTACGGGTAGTATTCGCATGGAGCTGCGCTCCACCGTGCGGTTCGTTATTACTATCGCTCATTATTCTGCACTTCAATCCGGTTGATTCGGGCTCAGCTAGACTTTCTTATCCGCTTTTCTGTTCAATACAAATGAGTGAGCGTCTAAAGGATCCTCCTGTCGAGTACCATATGCGTGCTTATAATGTGGTAGTTATAGTACAGTGCAGTACTGTACATGTAGTAATGCGAAGTGCACTGCATCACAGCGCACTGCTAGAACAGAAGGTTCAAGAGTCTGTATGCCAAATCACCCATGCAGGCCTAAAGTCCCCTATCAGCTTCGGATTCAAACAGTTGGCTGCCCGTATATTATATCGGGCTTAATATAGCCGGGCCTATCGATCACGTGCAGCGGTTGTGCTGCACCGCTACCATTATCACCTACAGATTCTTTCACTCGCTTAATACCCACTTGCGAGCTGATAGTTAACCTATCATGCTACTTGGTTAGATGGAGCTATTACCCAGTGGTATATATCATGTCGCCCGGCTCGCTAGTGGATCTAAAAACACCCTTGCGCCTTCCGGAGGGGGTTTATGCGGGGGCAGCAGCATGACTGGGGAGGGGAGGGCAGGGGATGAGTAGAGAACCACAGACGGGGCAGGATAGTTTTTGCTTTGCACCTCGAACGGCGTGGCATTGCTAGCTTTTATCGAGCGGAATGAGAGGATTACTCTCTCTTTTTCCCCCTTTCCCATGTTTCCAAGAGGGGGAGGGTTAGGTTCCAGCGGAGGTGGGTCATTGGGTATCACTCTTGGTGGCTCACAGGTATCTCTTACTTGATAGGGGGAGATCTGAACGGTATTATATCTGGATGGATACCTATGATTTTTTAAATTTGGGGACCTGCTGCCGTTGGACGTTTACTCGCCCGGGGGGGGGGGGGGTTCGGCGAGGAAGGTCGAAGTACGTTGTCAAGTCCTTGAGTTCCTCTGTCAACTTTCATAATGGTACGATACCAACCATTGTTTCACGAGCTGGTATAAAAAAGCTTCGCATAATCACTCTGCGGGACTCTTGAAGGGTTTTCGCTGGTTGAAGTGCTGGATTGGTTGGTATTATAGGTAAAGCCGTATCTTTTTTTCCATTTAGATGCATTAGGCATCATACTCAATTTTGCCGGGAAAGATTTAGTCAACTCGGACCTTTTTCCGGGTGGCTCGGCGAACATTGATCGCAGTGATCATGTTCTGTAATAGGGCTTGGAGAGTTGTTCCGTCATGGTATATCACTCAGGGTTTCCCATCTATGATACTATTTAGAATAATAATATTATGATATCGCGCCATGTATCATACACGGGTTCCGTTATCCAAACCCCTAGTGTCTTCCGGCAGATCTTATACAGAGAAACCAGGAAACCCTCAGAAGCGGTGCAACCTCCATCCATGTCATGAAACATTCCAGAGTTCGTCGCAGGTTTGGAATTCCGGCCAAGCGGCCTGGGGCCCGAATATCATCCCAACTGGGGCAAGAAATCTTAAGCCCTCTTTGGCCCGCCACCTTTACGGAATAAATTTTGGCAGCCAAAAATTTTTAATTTGGGGGGGGTGTGTATGTGTTCGTTTGCATCGAGAGATATCATCTTCAGAATACTGTATGAATATCTTGTAAGAAAATATTGAATCCCTAAAGCTCGGTTTAGGGCTAGCAATAGAGAAAAAGTATTAGCATGTAATTATATATTATTAAGAATACAGGTAATGCATTTGCTATACTAACCCTTTTTTCGTTTCTTGCTCCAACCTACAGTTAACTTGATTGGCAACCCTTGTGTTCATGGAGTGAGATAAGGTATTTGTGTTTTTTTTTTCTTTTTTTGCTAAATATTTATTTTATGTGAACGCAAACGAACGCACATATTTCTAAAATATACCATATTTTTATTTTGGAATATATGCTATTTTCGATTTTTATCGCGATATATTTATATTGGACGACACACAACACGGCCTTAATTTAGTTCAGGTATATATTGACGGTGGAGTGCTGCTATAATGCAAAGTTGGAAGATCCACGTCCGGTAACTTATTCTTAAAGATGAGCACGTGTCCAGCGTTTTATCTGGGGATTCATCGATCCACCACCCCATATCCGATAAGAGCCCCCCAAAAAAATTGTCCAAGAGGCTAGAGCTAGAAGATGCCTTTCTTCTATCATTGTATCGTGCCAACTCTCCTACCATGTCAAAATCCCCAGTGCGCTTTCTCCACCGGGATCCCAAATAAGGCATCGGGGTATCAGAATCTATATAGCCAATAGTGTATGGATGGGCTCCTCCCATCCAGGGAATTCCCAGAACGTAGAATGACTATCAGAATATCTCTTACAGCGCACTTATGCTTCGCGCCGTGATCTAGGAGTTGGTGGGGCTTACATAGGGGCGAAAAGGGGGAGGGTAGGAGAAGAGGAAAGACACCTGGTGAGGAAAGATATCGCAGATTTTCCTCAATGCAATGACAGCTCTCTTGTGATTCGCTCCTTCTCTGGCCTGTTTCTACTAAGACTTCGCCTCCCAGGGGCACTAATCCTTGGCGGGAATGTTTCGCTCCCCAGGAGAGCGTTTGGCGCATTGCAAACGACCCCCAAAGATATATACACGACCCTCGGAGGGCAGAAAGGGGAGGGGATACCTGTGGTCCGTAGGCTGCATCAGCACCCACTGCTCAAGCTGCTAGAAGCAGTTCTTAGGTCCTTGAAAGGATGAGTCTATCTTTCCCGAGCCGTGGGATGAATGTCTTTTAGAACCACTTGAGATTCTAGAACGGCTAGGACGCATTACCCAGAATAGGGGAAGCGCTGGGGTGTTTCCTCTCGGAAGGCAGACGTGTAGCGGAAGTTGTAGGGCAAAGAGTGAGGGGTTTACATAACGGCTCTTGCAAAGAAAATGGAACGAATTGTGTCGAAATGAAACTACCAAAGAACACGATGGCCGGAGGGGTACTACTAAAGCATTGATATCTCCTGTTGTCACCCACTTAGGTCCTACTAGAGAATGGCACCCCATGTCCCGTTGTTTTTTTCGGCTACCCGCCTTTTCCCCGCATTTCCTTTCGAAACCTACACTCTTCAGGCATAGCCTGGTGGGACGCTGTTTCGGTGACGACGGGACGTTATCCCTTTTCCTTACCCGACCCAAAGTACACCCCCTGTTTCCCCACTTCGTCGTTCATTGAGTTGCACTTTTGTACCTCCTATATATGTAGGAGGTAGCTCTCTCGTCCATTCTAATTTACTAAGCCGGGAAAATCGCACACCCACGTGCAGTTCGTGGCCACCGTCCGTCAAAACAAATGCCTATGCTGAATCTCTCGAAAGGATCAAGGGGCTAGGATGGGTGTATGGAGATTAGAAACGGTGGCTCCGGCGCGGGCATCCCAATCTGAGCAGTACGTAGCGCCCAATGAACCCCGCCATGCACTAGCCAGTGAAATTTGGTCTATAGGCCGGCTCTCACAACACCCCTTCAATAGAGATATTATTGTGCTGCTGTTTGTGCCCTGTTTTCTCAAAAAAAGGGTCTTAGAGAGACCTTACGATATACTTTCCCCTCCAAAATCTCCCAGGCGTGCTTTCAGAATATCTAGCTTCCTATTGAAATGGTGTTGAATGAATCATATACAAAAAGGGCTCCTTAGTATTCACATAGAGCCATCTAAATTTACGGTAGCGGGCGTCTGAAAGTGAATCCTCGCCGCGACCAGATCCAACAACGAATGACCTCCAACAGAAAATCTCCGTATAGAACTATGTTATTTTGTAGGCCGAAGGAAGGGAGA